AGGTTCCAGTATTCAGAGGATTTTTTTCAATGAACATATAAGGAGAAAATACGGGACTTTTAAAATGGTCCGGTTTTCAGAGGATTCCGGTTTTCAGAGGGTCCGGTTTTCAGAGTTTTCACTGTATTATGTTTACCAGTTCACTTGTTTGTCTTGATGCTTTGTTTACCTGATCTGACAGCATTTTTTCCACCTTATGTTGTCCTCTGAAACAGGCCCAACACAATCAATTTTATATTTTGCACCTCAGTACCAATCTAGTCAGATGAATCAATAAAGATGTTGCCATCTTCATGTTTTTTAAAAAAAAACTTTACATATTTAGTGTTCCCATGCACTCATTTAATGTTCTTAAACCAATTTACATTGAAATAATTTCTATTTTAATTAAATTACTGATTTATTACAGAAAACCAGTGAAGTTGGAAAGTTGCCATATTTATAACCTTTACAGTGTTAACAATGTTTTGTGTTTATTAGGCCTTTTATAAGATCTGTTGTATAAACATTCACTATGTCAATTTATGAACTTGTTAATGTAATAAGATTTTTATGGCAATATTGATTTTCACATGACTTGTATCCTATAACTCTCCTATAATTCTTTAAAATTAACCTTTAGACTGCTGTTGACAACAAATTCTGTACATACAGGCTCAGTGCAGACCAAAATCAGCCAGCATATCCATTATCATGGTATTTAGTCTGTACATATATGAAAAGAATAGTTTTTCCAGATTGAAATGATGGACAACTCCACTTAGGTATTCAGTGTGGTGTTAGTTAATTTAGCTATTTGAAAGCTGTTGATATTCATTTCAAGTTCTAATGTATTGTGCTTTTATACTGTTCTATGGATGAACATTTTTTACAACCATATGCATATACATGGTCGTTTGTCCTAACTAAGGAAAATAAATAGGGGGACATCTAACTGCAAATAGAACAAAGAGTTAATTTCTTAACAATAGAATATAAAGAACCAATGGCCCTTTATTAAACAGAAGAAGATAAAAAAAAATGAATGGCTCCTTATTTTCTATTGTCAGAAGTTTTGAAAAAGCAAGCCTTTAAGGCTTTTAAATGCCTATGCTGACATGGATGAACTTAGGTTTCTGGCAAGTTGTCATACTTATGACAAAAAGAGAAAACTGCACCACAGGGAAATATAATTATTTTTCTGTTACAGCAATGGTCAGGCAATGAAGTGCCTATTATTGCTTAATAAATAGCTATTTTTGTATATGATGACACATTTTAGCTCGACTATTCGATAAGAATAAGTAGAGCTATTGTAGTCACACAAGCGTCGGTGTCGGCGTAACCACTTATGTTTAGGTTTTTGTAATAGTTTAAATATTTTCAAAGTCCATTAACATATGGCTTTGAAACTTTGCACACTTGTTCACCATCATTACCCAAACCTGTAGACAGGAGGAGGTAACTCTATCAAGCATTTTGACAGAATTATGCCCCTTTTTCGACTTAGAATTTACGTTAAAGTTTTTGTAATATCTCAAATATTTTCAAAGTCCTTAGACATATGGCTTTGAAACTTTGCACACTTATTCACCATCATGACCCCAACATGTAGACAGGAGGAGGTAACTCTATCAAGCATTTGCCCCTTTTTATGCCCCCATAGAGTGGGAGCATATAGCATTGCACTTGTCCGTCTGAGTGCCCGTCTGTCCGTCCGTCCGTCCGTCCGTACGTCCCGAGATCTTGTGAACGCAACTCCTCTTAAACCAGATGGCAGATTTTGCTTAAACTTCCAGGGATGAACAACCTTAATGTGCAGATGGTAGTAAAGGGAGGAATTTTTGCTGCGACCAAATTTAACAGAATTATGGCCCTTTGTTGATTTTTTCACTATATACTATGTAGAAATTTTGTGAATGCAACTCCTTTTAAACCAGATGGCAGATTTTGCTTAAACTTCCAGGGATGAATAACCTTAATGTGTAGATGGTAGTAAAGGAAGGAATTTTTGCTGCGACCAAATTTAACAGAATTATGGCCCTTTGTTGATTTTTTCACTATATACTATGTAGAAATTTTGTGAACGCAACTCCTCTTAAACCGGATGGCAGATTTGCTTAAACTTCCAGGGATGAACAACCTTAATGTGTAGATGGTAGTAAAGGAAGGAATTTTTGCTGCGACCAAATTTAACAGAATTATGGCCCTTTGTTGATTTTTTCACTATATACTATGTAGAAATTTTGTGAACGCAACTCCTCTTAAACCGGATGGCAGATTTTGCTTAAACTTCCAGGGATGAACAGCCTTAATGTGTAGATGGTAGTAAAGGGAGGAATTTTTGCTGCGACCAAATTTAACAGAATTATTGCCCTTTGTTGATTTTTAGTTTTCAACTTGTGGCACATGTAGTCCAAAAAATATTTGACCTAGAGTCAAAAGATTGACAGAACAGTGGCGTGTAGGGGCATCAGTGTCCTTTGGACACATTTCTAGTTAGACTTAGAATTTACGTTAAAGTTTTTGTAATACCTCAAATATTTTCAAAATTCATTGACATTAGGCTTTGAAACATGTTGAAATTTTATACTCTTCTTTGAGAGCATAATAGGACTCTCTCCAAGGCCTATAACTGTAATATGGATTTAAAGAATAATTTTGCCTTTTTCTTTACTTAGAAAATTTTACCTTTTAATCAAGGCTTTCCTTACTATCAAGCGCTAAGAATAGTCGAGCGTTGCTGTCCTACCGACAGCTCTTGTTGGTATTTTTTGTGGATATTTAGCCCTAAAGTGTAATTCTCTTTTCAGTCCCCTACCAATTGAAACGTTAGGGACTCCTTTTGGTAAACCCTCTGTTTGTCTGTCCGTCCACAAAAATGGATTCTGTGATAACACAGAAGGTACTGAAAATATTTTTATGAAACTTGCAATATGGGTAGATGGCAGTCTGGAGATAATAAACATCTTTTTATTTTCTTCTTATGTTGGAAAATTTTGTTGCTATGGCAACAAATAGTATTATGATATATGGCAAATGTAACACAAAAACTGGATCTCATGATAACGTAAAAAGTGCTGAAAATATTTTTATGAAACTTAAAATATGGGTTGATGGCTGTATGGAGATCATGCATGTCAAGGTTCACAACTCTATCACCAAAATTATTAGATTGTGGTAGAAACTTTCCACAAACTAACAACAGAATCAGTGCTTAAAAGATGTATACTCAACCACAAGGAAAATGGGGCTTACACCCCTATCTAGGTGTAGTAAAGAAGTTAGGTTTACCTCAAAATGTATTTAATCCTTAAAAAAAATCATTACACAAGACCTAAGTTTAAAAGTATGTTATTTTTTTGAAGATATTTAAAAATAAAACAAAGACTAAAATTGTTCAAAAATAAACTAATGTTTAAAGGAGATATAGTTTTCTCCTTATCTTAATTACCGGTGTTTAAGGAGTAAACTGTAATGTGCATTTACCACTTCCATCCATGAAAAGGCAATCAAACTTTGCCTACATTTAAGTCAAGTTAGGTGACTTCAGGGTTTCCTCTTTTGAATTTTAAATTCTAATTATCCCCCGCCGATGGAATCGGGCAGGGGATATAGTTTTGGCGTTGTCCGTCCGTCCTTCCGTCCATCCGCACAAACATTTTAGGTATATGAGCTAACTAACGGTACACTTGGACAAAAGAGAACAAAGGACTTCATTCTATAAATAATAGTTTGCTCATAAGGAAACAATAGTTAGCCGGTAAGGAAACTATAGAAAAAACAATAAAATTAGCTCATAAACCTGAAAAATTGGTATGTCCGTCTGTCCGAATTTCGTTTCCGGAGTAGTTCTCTGCACCTACTGGCTGGAATTCAACGAAACTTTATGGGAATCATTAATATCAAGAGGAGATGCGCATATGGGAATCATTCATATTAAGAGGAGATGCGCATATCGTCGGCTTGTTCCGGTCCGACCCTTTTACTCAGAGTTATGGCCCTTGATTAGTTATGTTGTATGCATATAGAGTAAAAATCGTTTCCGCGCTATTTCTCTGCAACTACTGGCTGGAATTCAACGAAACTATATGGGAACCTTCAATACCAAGAGGAGATGCGCATATCGTCGGCTTGTTTGGGTCAGACACTTTAACTCAGAGTTATGGCCCTTGATTAGTTATGCAATATGCATATGGAGTAAAAATCGTTTCCGGAGTAGTTCTCTGCAACTACTGGCTGGAATTCAACGAAACTTTATGGGAATCATCAATATCAAGAGGAGATGCGCATATCGTCGGCTTGTTCCGGTCAGACCCTTTAACTCAGAGTTATGGCCCTTGATTAGTTATGTAGTATGCATATAGAGTAAAAATTGTTTCCGCACTACTTCTCTGCAACTACTGGCTGGAATTCAACGAAACTTTATGGGAACCTTCAATACCAAGAGGAGATGCGCATATCGTCGGCTTGTTCCGGTCAGACACTTTAACTCAGAGTTATGGCCCTTGATTAGTTATGAAGTATCCATATAGAAAAATATTTGTTTCCTCGCTACTTAATCTCTGCTACTACTGGCTGGAATTCGATGAAACTTTATGGGATACTAAGAGGAGATTTGCATATAGTCGCCTTGATCCAGTCAGATACTTATAACTCAGATTTATGGCCCTTGATTAGTTATGGCTGGAATTAATAATAATGCATACATCTCATTGGCATTTCCAGATTTTACTATTTAACACAAAGTTATGGCTCTGTATAATAATATTGCCCTGAATATTTATCAAGTTCAAAGAATATTACTGTTTATGGCATGATTAATATATAAATAAAGCCTTATGTCTTCAGTTGTTGTGTTAATAATAACCTGTACTCGGCAGGGGATATAAATTCAACGAATTTGCTTGTTAAATAATATGTACAATGTACACCAAGGACTAAATCTCTTTAACTACCTACAAACCTTTTTTAATCTGTAACCTGATTTGAATATAAACAAACTGTGTTGTTTTTTCCAGATACCAGAGCTAGATATGTATCTCCTGGAACATGCAGAAGTTAGTGGAAGATCAAAAAGAAGTGCTGTTGATTATGTTTTAAGATTGACTCAAGATTCAAGGGTATGTCCTAATATCCCCCCAAACAGTTTCAATAGAATGGGTTATAGGTCAACCAAAGAAATATGGATTCAGCCATAACTCAAAAAGTACAAAAGCTTAGTTATGATATTTTGAATCTGGATAGAGGACCAAATGAAGACAATTATGCATACCATTTTATTTCTGTTATGGCTCCATCAGTGTGGGACCATTAAGTGTTACCCATGTAGATGTGTGTCTGTGTGTAAAAGTATGTTCATTGTAGTTTGTGACCGGTTCATAACATCTGCATGCATGATGCCAAATATCTCGGCTGTAGCCTTTGTTGGTTCAGTTTTTACTATATACATTGTACATAAAAAGAAAACTAATGACCCTGGGCAGTGCAAATTTTGACAACCCTAAGATTCATTTAATATATGTTTATAGTTAAACTTAGAAGAAGCTTCTCCTCTGCACCCACAAAGGCTAAAAACTAGTTATGTTGAATGAAACATTGCAGCATGTTTCAGTTAAAACACACACACACACATATATATATATATATATATATATAACATGAGTACAGCATATGTACAAGATAATATACATAGAATATGGATCAGCATATGTGATGCAAAATTACTCATTATTAATTTTGATGTGATTTTTGTGACAATGTACAGCGAAATGTGTTGGTATCTGTGTTTAATGGACACATTTCTAATTTTATTGCTCTTGAAGGGTAAATAAATTAAAAATAAAGATGACATGAATGACTTTATGTATTAATTTCTTTACTACACAGGTAAAGTTTGCAGAACAGCAAGTTACACTTAAGAGGGTAAAACGATCACACATTCTGCATGACAAACAACTGGAGTTTCCCATCGAGGACATCAAGGACAACAGTCAGTATTACCGTATTCGTGACAAATTTGATACAAGAGATGGCAATTCATTGATGTTTAATGACCAATACTTTAGTGATCAGTGGTATTTGGTAAGTAAACCTTTTCCACTTTTATTAAAGCAAGACTTTTAAATGAAATGATTCACGATAATAATGGAAATTTATCAAAATTAGGCAACATTAAAAATATCTAATGAATATGAAATAATTTTTGCTTTTATAGACAAAAGTGTGAAATATTTTAAACATGATGCATGTCTATGACAACAGTTGCATTGCCTAAAAACAATAGAATTGTTTTTCATGAAGTATGCAAATTTTATTATTTCTTTATTTTTCTTTAATGTGTCTGTTGTTGTAATGAGGTGTTATGATATCTAATACAGTCAGTACCAGTCAGTGTCTAGGCAGACTGCATTGATTCATACATGAGAAGGAAATTCACTATTGTCATGACCATTAGAGAGTTATGGTCATCAAGACACCAGTTTAATTTTTCTGGACATACATTTATATTAATTTGAGACAATTTGCAGTAGATTTCTTGAGATGATATGTTTTATATTCATTTTTAGGACAATACAGGTCAAACAGGAGGTGCTGAGGGAATGGATATAAATGTTATACCAGCATGGAATAGTGGTTTCACTGGTCGTGGGGTAGTTGTTACAATATTAGATGATGGAATAGATCACAATCATCCTGATATACGTAGAAACTATGTGAGAAGATCTTTTTTTAAACAACGTTTACATGTATAATAATGATACTTGTACACAAATCTCCTCTGTTAGTTATTAGAAGTTAAGAAAATGATTATTTTGTGTATATCAGTGTTCTGTGACACCAAACCTATTACCCTTGGTGACACTTTTCATTGTTCATTTTGTTATTTTAAATTATTTACAAAGATTAATTTGATTATTGGACACTGCGGATCAAGATCATTTCAATTCATGCCAGTGTCTTTGAATTCTTTCTAATAAGAAAACTATCCAGATAGTTACGGAACTTCTATGGTTCTACTCAGGTGCCCATTTTTGCCAGAAATAATTCACAAAGGTAAAAGCTCAGTCACCATATGAATTACACTGTGTAGGTGTGACAAATAACCCCAAAAAAAATTCATATTGTTAAAGCACCTATAGTCATTAGTCTAAATTAACTTACAGCAGCTGCTGTAAAGTCCTGGAACAGATTGAAATTATACTGTGACTTTACTTTACTATAACCATATGTCCTTATCTGATAAAAGTACTTTTACATTTATTAAAATTTCATTTGTATTTTATCATATTTCTCCTGTTTCAGGATGAGAGGGCAAGTGCTGATTTTAATGACAAACATGATAAAAATAATGATCCTGCACCAGATAAATCCAGACGTGGAAATAGGTACTTGTACTTGTTTTTGTATGGGTTTTTGTTAACTTTTAATTTGAGATAAGGGAGGTAACACAATTTGAAATTATCAAATTGTAAATATTTCTGACAAAATTTAAAGAAATTCAGACCTTGGAATATACTGGGTACACATTATTATGTGTAAACATAGATATTCAAACTTTGAGGTACCATGATATATATTATATTGATGATACTACTTTCAAAAATTTGACATTGATGTTTGTTAAATAATTGCGAGGTTTATAGAATCAAACTTATAAGTGCTTATTTCTGCTAACTTAATATTTTTCAATTTTTGTAAAAACAAGGTAGTCTTACATTCCTGCATTCCCTATTTCTTCTACAATGTGAACCTTGCATTGATGTGTTTTATTTCTGCAGCTCTATGTCCATGGTTTGAAGAAAATGATTGATATCATATTTATTTGACAGTTCTTCAAATTTAACAGATAACCACTATTATTATATAATGTATAAATAGATTCGAAATGCCTTTCCCTGATTGGCTAACAAGCAATTTTTTGTAAAAAATAACAGGTCAATATCAGTAAATTCACTGTTTTTTTCCCTAAAAATAGATTTTCAGAGTATGTTCACCGTTTTTATGTCGCCTCTACGGAGTAGTGGCGACATATAGGGATCACTTCTCCGTCGTCTGTCTGTCCGTCTGTCTGTCCGTTCGTCCGTCTGTCACAAAAGCTTGTCCGGACTACTCCTCATAAACTACTGGTGCAATTTCATCCAAACTTTACAGGAATGATCAGTACCAAGTCTAGTTGTGCATATTGTCAGCATTTTCTGGTTCAATGATTTTTGTCAGAGTTATGGCCCTTTAATAATTTTTATTTTTAAAGTTTGTCTGGACTACTTCTCTTATACCACTAATGCAATTTCAATGAAACTTTACAGGATTTATCTGTAGCTCAAGTCCTTGCGCATATTGCACGGGTTTTCCGGTTGAATGATCTTTAGCCGAGTTATCGCCCTTTGATAAAAAGGTGTTTTTTCTGTGTGTTGCCAGACACACAAAAGCTTGTCCGGACTATTCCTCATAAACTTCTGGTGCAATTTCATCCAAACTTTACAGGAATGATCAGTATCAAATCTAGTTGAGCACTGTCCATCTGTCTGTCCGTCTGTCACAACATGAAATTGGCCATCATGAGGCGACACATGTGATTACTGATCGCTCTTGTTTCTTCTAAAAATAGATTTTCTGGAAATCCCCCGAATGACGCGAGACTATGACGTCACGTTACGCCAAGTTTGTTGTTATTATTCAGAAAAAAACGTTGAGTGACTCGTAAATAAGAGTCAAATTAGTCTATTTAAGTTACCGTATTAACACTTAAAAGAACAATACGAATTAGCGTGCCAATGCACTCACTAAAAAGAAAGTGCCAAAAAGTAGACAAGCTAAAAAATAATGATTTCCGTTGTATGCAATTGCAAATTTTATAAGCCATATAAAAGCTATTTATAAATTATATAATATAACAGATTCTGAAAAATTAATATTGACCTCGGCATATAGGGATCACTTCTCCGTCGTCTGTCTGTCCGTCTGTCTGTCTGTCCGTCCGTCCGTCCGTCCGTCACAAAACTTGTCCGGACTACTCCTCATAAACTTCTGGTGCAATTTCATCCAAACTTTACAGGAATGATCAGTACCAAGTCTAGTTGTGCATATTGTCAGCATTTTCCGGTTCAATGATTTTTGTCAGAGTTATGGCCCTTTAATAATTTTTATTTTTTAAGTTTGTCCGGACTTCTTCTCTTATACCACTAATGCAATTTCAATGAAACTTTACACTATTGATCTGTAGCTCAAGTTCTTGCGCATATTGCACGGGTTTTCTGGTTGAATGATTTTTGGCCGAGTTATTGCCCTTTGATTAAAAGATGTTTTTTTCTGTGTGTTGCCAGATACACAAAAGCTTGTCCGGACGGCTCCTCATAAACTACTGGTGCAATTTCATCCAAACTTTACAGGAATGATCAGTACCAAGTCTAGTTGTGCATAATGTCAGCATTTTCCGGTTCAATGATTTTTGTCAGAGTTATGGCCCTTTAATAATTTTTATTTTTAAAGTTTGTCCGGACTACTTCTCTTATACCACTAATGCAATTTCAATGAAACCGTATTAACACTTAAAAGAACAATACGAATTAGCGTGCCAATGCACTCAATAAAAAGAAAGTGCCAAAAAGTAGACAAGCTAAAAAATAATGATTTCCGTCGTATGCAATTGCAAATTTGATAAGCCATATAAAAGCTATTTATAAATTATATAATAAAACAGATATGTACTTTTTAGCTGTTGAATATGATGTGATATGTACTGAAAAATTAATATTGACCTTGGCTATCGCCTCGGTCAATATCAATTTTTTCAGTACATATCACATCATATTCAACAGGTAAAAAGTCCATATTTGTATATGATTTGTTATCATAGCAATAATTATTTATAAATTCTCTTCAAGCCGTGATTAATACCGCTACATGTATATGAAAGTACATAGCAGATTACACAATATGGCAATGTATTATTGTAAAGCTCTCAGTAGAAAATAATAGGCAAATATAAAGCCAAATACAGACATAATGGATTAAATTTCTTCTGGATTTAAATCTGCAGTGGTATTGATTCTACTGAAATAGCAGGAAAAAAGTCCTGGCAAAAATAAGTACTAATTATGTTTATACATGCACATAGCTGTGAAGTAATTTTTGTTTGTCTTCATATAAAGTAATTGTTGTATTAAAAATTCATTATAAAGGTCTGTCTGATATGTTATATTGTCCATGTATAACTACAACCATTTATACCAAGCCATATAACATGTCTGATATGTTATATTGTCCATGGATAACTACAACCATTTATACCAAGCCATATAACATGTCTGATATGTTATATTGTCCATGGATAACTACAACCATTTATACCAAGCCATATAACATGTCTGATATGTTATATTGTCCATGTATAACTACAACCATTTATACCAAGCCATATAACATGCCTGATATGTTATATTGTCCATGTATAACTACAATCATTTTTACCAAGCCATATAACATGTCTGGTATGTAATATTGTCCATGTATAACTACAACCATTTATACCAAGCCATATAACATGCCTGATATGTTATATTGTCCATGTATAACTAAACCATTTATACCAAGCCATATAACATGTCTGATATGTTATATTGTCCATGTATAACTACAACCATTTATACCAAGCCATATAACATGCCTGATATGTTATATTGTCCATGTATAACTACAACCATTTATAGTAAGCCATATAACATGTCAGACATCTATATAACTAAAAATATACAATAAACAACAAATAAAAGCCTGTCTTAGGCACCATGATATTTACATCAATATACAACATATACTGACCTGCTTGTTTTGATATTCATGAATGATTTTTTTTCAAACATATTCTCAACCATTTATAATTATGTGACATGAAAATATGGTTCAGTTTACTTTACTATTTAATGATACAAGAATTGGTGTCTTAATACCTGTCCTGTAAATAAATCAATATAATTACTGTATACTGCAGCTATAGTCACTACTGGAGTTATAAAGGTAATATTGTATGTGGTAAGGTATTGAATGTGGTCATTGCACCTATATGTTATTATTTGTATAGCAAAATCTATGACAATATTAACTTTATTAACTTTACTTTCATTCTAAAAAACTGTATGGTAAATTTGTCAAAATAAAAATGAAAAAAAAAAAATGTACTATGGCCAATGCATTTTTCTAAATTAAATTTGTAAAACCAACATTATGTAAAATGAGGTGTAATTTTGACACATGTTTTATGTGTTGTAAAAATGTTGAACATTTGAGTGCTTACTAAACTGATACCAATACAGAAATATATTTATATTATAATTTTCTTTTTCATAGTTTGGCCTTCCTCTACTGTGTCCAATAGTGTGCTTTCTCCTCTGACAGCTCTTGTAACATGACTTTTCAATCCCTAACTGATAAGGCATTCCAAATACTTAAAGAAATTAAGCTGTATCTTAAATAGTTAAAGATAATAAAGCAAAAAAGCAAATATTTTTATTGAAGAGATGTCATTAAGGGGTCACAATGAAATAGTTATGTTTCCTTATTCTAAAACCTTCTTTTTCCAAAATAAACTATGATAAGTATGGAATTAATTAATAAATTATGATTGTTTAGAATTTAGTAATAATGGATTCTAGCAGATCGAAAATCTTAAGTGTGTCATGGATTTTGATATATATCATAAATATTTCTTCTGTCTGTGTTGCATTGTGGGAGACTTTTATATTTACTTTTGAGTGAAATGAGCATTTTGACATGAAGCATAAAATTGGTGTACAGACAAACATTCAAACTGATGGCTTATAATGTTGTTACTGTATTTATGTTGCTTATGTCACCTTTATGTTGTTTATCAGATTTTTTTGTTGTTTTTTCGATTCATTTGTTTTCATTTTCTTTTACTGTATGGAAAAGTGTTTATTATATTGCTGAAAGGCCAGCTATTATTATTCATGATATTCAAATTAAGATTTTAGAATGAACATTTAGGTATATAAACAGTCATGTATGATAACTTTTGATTAGCATATTTGTGTTTTTGTTCAGCATGGTGACAATATTTAACAATATATGGTATTGGAAATGTGTACATAAATGCTTGTTTATGTCTTTCTGATATAATTTGTCATGTATCTAAATACATATATTGAGATTTGTATTGGTGACTTTCAATTACACAAACTGACTTAATTAAGACCATATTTTAACTTAACTAATTTGTGTCTGTTGCATAACTTTATTGGGGTGAGATTAGCAACCTCACTTCAGTGAGCCTTGGCGGCCTTGGCCCTGAGGAAAGAGGATCAGAGGCTACAATGCTTGTATCTGTCAAGTAGTTTTCATCTTTAAATGTGTACAACTAAATAATAATTATGAGACATATTGTTACATTTCTATTCAATTTGAGCTTGAATTAAGGTGTTCAACAACTTTTTTTAGCTCACCTG